GCTGTCAGTACTGAACCAGCAGGTTAATGTTATCATGGGTAGTTTTAAGAACAATTTGCAACATCCTTTGTTGTACAGGTGAAGTTTTAGGCAGATTCTTATTGGTTTTGATGCAAATAAAAACTATCAAGAACATCAAAATGTTTTGGAAAAGTCATATGATCTATCAGAGTGTTTCTAGGATGCCATGAATTATTTGGAGTTTTAGCAGCCTGTAAAACTGGGAGTCCCTAGGGCCTGGCTCAGGTCTTCTGGTCTTCAGGGAACAAAATGCATTACTCTTGTTGTCCTAGACCCAGAGCTTCAGATTAAGATCTGTCACCTCCTGAATGATGACGATTCAGGAGTAGCCTGCTTGCTGTGTTTACTCAGAGGCAAGGGGTCCTGCATCCTGTGGGCCTCCAGCAAATTTCCACCTGGCAGTCTGACACTGAAGGATACTGCTGCAGAACACACTGCCCTCCAGCCAGCTGCAGAGCCAGCCCCATTCCTCCTGGTCACCTGCAGTCCCTGACAGACTCAGAGGGACCAGCAATTTGTAGGCCTCTGCCTGCAGGTTGGAGATAACCCCCAGAAACCATTTGCTCCCCGGTGGTTCCCAGTGCAGAGCTTTGCAATCCCAGACCTTCCTCCTGCCCACACAGCCCCGGCCGCTCTGCTCCTATGGTCCTCGGGCAGGGGGGACTCATCCTGACAGTGAGCTCCTCAGAGCATATTTCAGATAATGCATAGGCAATGCCAGAGGAAAGAGAAATGACAGAGAAGATGAAAAGGTCTGGTTTATGCACAGAACCATCACATTCTAATGTAAGTCAACGCCCCTATATTTTAATATATGTTCTCTATTAGAACATCGGATTTTTGTAGCTATGCCTGGTCTCTTTTTATTTCCTTTTCCATTTGTTCCTACATCAGGTGACATCTTATGTGAAAATTTCTACATTGTCCACACATCTGAACACCCAGATCTCACATTACTACAATGTGAAATAAACTATTTTTGGCAAGTGGTGATCCTCACTGAGCTGTGAAGGATACGGACCATATTCACTTAGTTCTCTGCAAACTTTCATTTCAATTTCAGTGAGCTGTTCCTTATCTCCAAAGGCTCATATTTCCCTTTCTTTTTTTTTTTTTTTTTTACCTTTTTCTGACACAGTCATCTGAGGCAAGTCAGGACATCTCTATTTTTAAGAGCCAAGAACCTGTGACATCCAGTCTCCAAGGGGGAAACACTATTTAAATAATTCCATGTAGTCTCCTATGTCTGCTAAAAGACAGAATAAATATAATTAGAAAAATGTGACTAATCTCTTTCTCTGAATCCCCAGTGTGCATCTTTTGTAGCCATCTGTTCTCTCTCCTCCAGGCCCCAATCACACATGTGCTAACCAGTAAACACAGAACCTACCTGCAAACCCGGAGTTAAGGGTATCTTATACCTCCTAGTACAGGGGGATCTTCTACATCCTAGTTTTCCAGCTCTTAAACTGTACCTTCTGTAGAGAAGGTGCCTTATTGACTAGAAAGTGCACCTTTACCAGCTTGCCACTTTCAGCATTTTTCGTTCTTTCAGTATTCCCAACAGTTAGAGAAATACTGTTGTCCTTCTTTGGGTGCAGAGGAGGAACTGAGAAATGAAGTTAAATGACTTGCTCTGGGTCATATAGGGACTCTGTGACGAACTAGGATGTGATACTACTAAATAATACTGTAGAGGGATTCCCTCTGAAGCTTAACTCCCAGTTTAAACTGACATATTCTACAAACAGACACCATGTTACAATACCGATGCTCGTTAAATGATAGATTGAAAGTCATTCTCAAAGTACCAGAGCAGTACATTCTCCTTGAGCCTTCCTTGTTAATAAACTGTGAATCACATATATCCCATCAATTACCTGTTGTGAAAAACAAAACTTTTCCTTGTTAGATCAGGCAGTGCCATCACAAAAATGGTATATTGTGTTTCTCATTTTATTCTGCAGATAAACAAGACTACTTTAATTACCATGATCTGACATGCCATCTCCAGAACAGAAGGTACAGTACTGAAAGGTATAATAAATTTGCAATACAAGGAAGGTTTATTTTAGGCATTAAATGAAATGGCACTAACTTAGAGTACAAAAAATACTGCCCGATTCTTAATAGAATCTTTCTTGAAGGAACAATTGTAAAAATGGATTTCAGATTTTACTGCTTAAGTCAAAATATTAAATGTTGTACTAAATTATATTTCGGAAAATATGAAACTTTTGCCACAAACAAGAAATAACTTTCATTATTCAGGGTGTCTTGGGTGTGTTCTAATCTCTTAGGTTTCGTAAAGCAAAATTAATCCTTGCTAGATCTTTAACAAGTATGATGTTAGCAGAGTCAAGGAGCCCTACAAGTCAAATCTTTTCACAAAGTCTGCTTTTCATTTTCTGATTGATTAGGGAAAAATAGCCATCATAATCAATGTGACAAGCAAACGGGAGGACTGAGTGGCAAAGAAATAGGTGGAAAAGTATTTGAGGGGTGCAGATGTTTTAGGAAAGGAGATGAGAGAAATGGCACCAAGCGCCAAGGAAGGTATGAAAGAAAGGCCATGTTCAGGCAAGAAGAAATCAGAGCAGTAGAAAAATTATAATTTTGATACCTCGGTCAGGCAGCACAGAACAGCTGTTGTGCCTAACAGAATAATTGCACCTGCGGAAAGAAAAGAAATAATAGCAACATAGCATCTTCCTGATGAAAAGAAGTAGACGTGGATGTCCTTGAGAATATAAATTGAGATCCTTGTTAAGGTCACAGCCCAGCAACTGTGGGAACAAAACAGATCCAGTGACACCAAAAATCTTCTCTGAGTGACTGCTGTATACGTAACACAGCACATATTTTTTCCTATAAAAAAATTTTTCTTGAGAATTTTGCGTGAGCTGCAGCAGAGCTGCAGGAGCTGTAGAGGACATCCCCCGGTGCCATGGTGCTCAGTGCTGGGGCATCCAGTGCCTTGGCTCAGTCCGAGCTGCCCACACGCTGCAGGGGCAGGCACCAGCGCTGTGTCCCAAGGGGTTCTTGGGCCACATGGTGAGGACCAAAACTCTGGGATGTAAGGATCCTGCTGTGATGTCGAGAGGCAGCCACTATTACTGCAGAAGAGTACTTGTTTTCAAAGTGAAGGCATCTTTCTTCCTAAGTTTATGCAGTACATTCTGTGATTAAATACAGCAAAGAGGGAATTATGTCTCATGAATGGCCATCTGACAGCTTTCCAGGTACAATATAAACAGTCCTGAGTGGTTAGCAGGGAAATACCTGAACAGACTAACTTTATCAGCATACACGGGACTTTGCTACCTACAGAGAGCTTGGAGAGCACATACTTAAGACACACAACCATGAATACAAGGTGAAACATCGAAAATAGGACTTCAAGGAAAGAGTACAACATTTCCCAGGACAGGCATCTGGATATTGTGGAGAATGAAATTTTGAATGAAACTGCAGCAGAAAAATCAACTGAAGCCCAGGTTTTACAGACAGAGAAATATACCATATATCACAATATATTTTTACAGGACAGGCTTCAATAGCTCCCAAGAACCAGGTCACAACTTTAATGCTGGCTGACTGAAGCTATTGCATTACTATCATCACAGATCACTTTTGCACCAAATGGATTTTAACACATTATAATGCTGGAATTAACTAGTGTTTTCTGATAAGGAGCAAGTCACCTTCTATTATCAGGCATCAAATCATCTTAGTATTTTGCTGATATGTTCTCCTCTGGTACAATCTGCCAAAGAAAATAGTTTGCCTGCCTGTAAAGTGGAAAGAAAATGTGCCTGAATAAGATGCAGATAAAAATGGATACAGAAATTAGCCCTGAAGTACTGTAGATTTCCCAAACCCTTGCTAAGAAATCAGAGACAGTTATATCTGACTTTAAGTGCTCAAGCCCAAATTTCTTCTCAGAGAATGACAGATCCTATTCAGAGAGCTTAAATGATGGCAAAGATATTTAAAGGAAGACCATATTTTATCTATTTGTGATGTACAATACATTCATCAGTGGAAGACTAGGTATGGTAGATAGATAGTGAAAGACACCTTCGTAGTATAATGTGAATTTGGAACTCAGATATCAACTACGGACCATATCTTTCATTTCAGTAACTGGGCTATGACCATAAGAGTGTGTCTATAGCACGGATTAAAGGATTTGTGGGTTTTGGGGGGGTTAAGAATTTCGCTTGCATATATATATATATATATATATGGAGACTTAGGGTACGCACTCAAGTACAAGACTGGGGCACTTGAAGTGGTTTCTTTTGAAACAAAGGTTGCTGCCATACAACAGGACACTAACTAGGGAGCACCATTTTAATGTGGACACAAGGTCTTCCACTACATAGCTCTCTATATTTTTATGGCACATGTAATGTTAGATTGTGGGCAATCTGTTTATTATTTCATATCCTTGATGCTTGTTGGTAGAGTTGCTGTTGCAGGTCTGCTTTTCACCTATCAGTTACCAAATCACAGTCACAGGTGAACCTTTCCACTATTATCTCTCTATTTTTAATTACTCATCATTATGTCCTACAAATGGTGGATAACACTTAGCAAAAAGGACAGGGACATGTGCATTTAGTGTTGTAATTGACAGAAACTATAGGTAAATTCCTTGCTGTGTAAAAGACAAAAGCTGAAGCTGAAGATCTAGAAAATTATCTCATCTAGAAAACGCCTGCAGTCTACCCATTTGTAGATGAGGATGGCAACATATGCTTCATACTGATTCTTGCATTGTAAAGATACAAAAGCTGTGTCTTGCCCTCCTTCTCTTGGCACATTCTCTTGACTGAATTCTCTTCTACTGCAATGATGTATTTGAAGACAGGTCCTCCTACATAACAAAACCTTCCAAAGGCTAGTACTGCAGTGGTTCAAGTCAGCTACCCACGGTCTCTTGTTCCAGATTCTGAAAGGGAACTGCAGCTTGTTCATCCCGAATGCACCTCCAGCAGGCTCCCTTCCGAGTCATAGTCACAGTAGCACGACTGCAAGAGAGATGAGCAGCACAGCTGGAGCCACGGCTTCCAGAGAAGGTTGTCCCACGACAACTGGTCAGGGACAGCATGCAGGGATCTGGTGTGGTTGTCGACTGCCAGGTGTATGACCCTGAGGATTTTGTAGAAACGGCTCTCTGTCTCTGGAGTCAGTGGGACTTTCTCTTCAGGGTCTCTGGAGAGATCGAAGAGCAGCGGGGGATCATGTCGTGTGACAAATCCTCCATGGCAGAAGCAAACGTGAGAATCGTAGCAACCATTGGAGTCTTCAGGACTGAAGTTTGGAGTGAAGAAGAAGACTTTCCAGACAGATTCACCTGCAGTTTACAGACACAAAACAGCTGCCAATAAAATGACAAACCAAAAGTCTCCTAGTCTTACGAAACTCTAATTTACACCACAGGAAATCAGTCCTTTGATACAACGTCACTCTGTACAGGAACTGCAATGTATTGAAAGAGTAAAACAAAACTGAGCAAAACAAAAATAAGCAAAACATGGCGATTCTCATGCTATCCATATTTATGAAATAACTATGATCACTTCATTCCCTTGGAAGAATTCTGATTAACTAGATCATAGAAGACTCAAAGGAACTTTGTGTTTTTACATAAACAGTGCTAAGAAGATTTGCATAGATATTTACTAAGCCATTGCACTGTCTTCTTCAAGACTTATAAAAAGCACCTTTGCCCCTTGACCATATCCAGACATTGTTGGGTCATGTTTGCTTCTTATTTTGCTAATAAAAATAATTTCATTTTTACCTTTTTCTCTCTTCTTTTTGTTGTATTAACCCATTGCCCTCTGCCACATGCTTGCATTGCAAACACCTGGAGACACAGTTTCTCGTTTTATTAAGTGTGATGACATGAAAAGGTATAATGGATGCTAAATTCCTGTCTTAGACCTCTAGATGTTTTCTCCAAAAATAAACAACTGCTATGGCAGTTCAATTTTTAGGTGACACTCTGCTTTGTAAAATGGGAAGCAAAGGACTTAATTTATAGATTGGTCATTCTCTCTCAGCCTAATTTGCTGTGTACAGAAACTGAACAGTCTGCACTAGTGTAACTTCAGTCAGGATTTTCACTGTTTAAAATTACTAATTATTTCCTGGGTTAAGAATAAGCAGATATTAGTTGGTTCCTTCAGGAAGCACTCTTGAACAGAAAGTACACTGGAGAATCTGAAAATACCTAACAAGAGAGGAGTAAACAAAAAATGGTTACTATTTTCCTCAAGTATCACAGAACAGACAGGGAATACAGGAACAGACAGGCACCTCCAGGGAAGCACATCGTCCTCCCGTGGCCAGGGAAGCCTACAGTTCTCCAGAAATGGACCAGAGAACAACTAGTTAGAGTAAAATATCTGTAATTTATTCTTAAGAAAAGTAGGATACTAAACAGCTGAAGTCTATAATGTCAGACTACCTACCCATGTGAGTGTATACAGACATCAGAAATACATATTTATCAGTAATTTACATTCCTCAGGACCCTACTGTGAAAAATTTTTTTGTATCAACACCTCATTTTTTTAAATACTGGAAGAAAAACTCTTTTTGGTATTTTGTTGAATTTTGTTAAGTTCACAGAAACCTCGTTAATCTAGTAACAGATTGTCACAGATTTATGTACGCTACAGTGGTTAATATTCATTAATCAATTCATCAATATAACAGAACAGAAAGCACTAGAAAATGTGGGAAGGGCAGAGACGAACTGGTACATGCCGTGCTGCAATTATAACACACTCAATTTTTAAAGATAAAAACAGGTTTAAAGAAAGAAATGTTTCAGTGGACTAAAGAGTCACAGGCTGCAGTTCTAGTCTATAGCATGAATTAAGGACAGTAGGTGACCTTGAGATTCTTTACAGCTTCTTCCATTCCACAGCATTTTTCACATTATAAGAGATTTTACCTTTAGGAACCAATTCAATGACAGAGCCTGGAGACTTCCAGTTCACTTAGGCTGCACCTAAATTAGGGTTAGAGGGGTGACGGTTATTATACATATTAGACTGGGAGAACCCTCTGAATGCTACTTGGAAGTCAGCAAAGGGGAAGGAGCTTTAATGGTTGAGAGTGACTTGCTGGCACAGGCAATGGGATGTGGCAGGCTTTAAAAGGCTCTGGCTGTGACAGTCTTACTGGGGAGAAGGGAAGGGAAAGCAAAAGGAAGGCAAGGCAAGGCAGCTTTCCTTCATCTACCTCTCCAATAACCTTTTGAAAGGTTGGTTTGATACTTGAATTCTTTGCTGGTTTCTCAGAATTAGAATAAACAAACACTCCCACTTAAATTTCTTTGAACTTATGCATGGAACATTTCCCAGAGCAGAAATATGCCTCTCATTTACTAAGATTTAGAATTCACACTCTGGGAAGGTATGTAATCCTATACCAAGCATTCCTTCAGGCTCTTTAAAAGTGTTTAATTGGCAAGATGGACAATGAAGAACAGAAAAAGCCAAAGGGTTTTATTAATCACTGCACTGTGTGCCTTTGTAGACCATGTAACATTTGGTCCACCTGAGAATTTGATTCAGGGCACAATAACACCTTGAGAGAAGAGCAGAAAAAAATTTATATAGCTATTAACATGTCAAATAAAAGAAATTCCAGTAAGGCCATGCACATGGGAACTTTGTGGTCAGGCTGTCTTACCACACATCTATCTTTGATGCTACAGTTGTGCTGAGTGACACTGAAAAGAAATTTTCAGCCAACTTTTTTTGGTATTGGGTACTGTAGCACCAGGCCAGTTCAAGGGCTTACAGATAGCAATATAAATTTGGGAATTCTGAATTAATGCAAGTTGGTACAAGCAGCTCATATAGGTAAGAAATGGGGAAAAGAAAGAAATAAGGAAGTTGTACCATGATTTTTTTTCCCCACAGAATAAAGAATTGTTCAGGTTTGGCTATATACAGAGCATATGGCATACTGCAAAATCACGTGTGGCGTTGGGGACAGGGCATGTGTGACACCACGTCATGTCTGAATCATGTTACTAGTGTTTTGAAGAGCTGATGCCAGTTTATCAGCTACGCAGCTATATAATGTCATGATCATACTGTGCAAAACACTGAGCTCCAGGAGAGCAAAGCCTGTTGTTATTGTACGATGTTCATCTGTTGCACTGCAGTGATGTTTCCGCGAGGATCTGGAACTTCATGTGGTGTGGGAGGAACAGCAGAGCAGACTTTAACCGCCAATTTCCTAAGCATTATAAAAACTAAAGCATATCTGTCAGTGTCTGTGGTTGTAGAGCAGCCAGTGTAATATACTAGGAGACATAAAGAGCTGTCAGATTTCTAATCTGTAAAGCTGATGAACTGCATAAGGCTTGATATTAAAAAGAGATAGCGCTCTCCCAGTCTCTCTCAGCTGATATAAAATCTCATTTTGTCAGAGGGTTAACTACAAGGATCAAATTAATCTCTCAGTAATTAACGATACCTTTGTTCTGGAAAGCATCTGGATAGTAAACTCTCTTTATATAAAAAGATAACTATATGGCTCCTCCTCAGTGAAGTTAGTAGTAAAATTGTCAGGGTTCTCCCACAGTCAAGTCTATCAGGTCCCTTCTAAAACAGCAGGCAAGCTCTAAGCCTGCAGCACCCTTAGAGATCCTGTCTCAATGCTTCATAGCTGCTTTAGTATTTGTTTTTCCTGCAATTCTCCAGCTCTTGGAATTGTCCAACAATTTCACCTATTGAGCTCTCAGAATATCTCTTTCCTTCACACGTTAAGAAAAACAAAAAGTACAGAAGTTATACATATAAATAGTCTCAAATTAAAATAGGTTGCAATTATTTCAAGCAAGTCTGCTGTGAACGTAATTGTTCAGAGTTCAGTCTCCCTAACAGACTCCTCTTCTGTTTTATTATGCTTCACCCATCTATTTATCCTCTCATACAGACAAGTAGCTCCAACAGACAGGTAGCAGCCATGAGATTAAATAAAAGTCTCTCAGTAAGGTATATTAATATTTCCAAAATGAAGTGACACACTAGATAGGGATGTCATTTTGGTTATAATAGCACTGTTCTTAATCACTGATGGCTAAATGGTGTTTTCTGATAAACAGTTCTTGAAGCAAACAGAAGCTATTGCTGTGTTATTGCCTGGATCTCATTTTTACCGAATCTAATCTATGGCAGTAGCTTTACAGGTTTGCTGCTACCGTCATCTCCTTTGTTCATATTATTTTGTTTCTTCCTTCTGTAGAACAAGTTAAACAAGTGTGTTCTTCACTGTAAATTGGGGAGCTGGTCTCTCCTTGACTTCAGACGCCTTTGAGCATAACCCTTTGGGCGTAGCATACCGATGTAAATTGCCCACAGACTCTTCCTGTATCTCGAGTGTGCTCTGTAGCCTTTGTCAGCTCCCACGCTTTAACTCACGCTCTTCGATATTTCTACAGAGTAGCAGATGAAAGCTGCAACTCACTTGAAAATTACATTCTTCAGATAACTCTTGTTACTAGATTGAATCCTTTCTTCCTGCTTCCTATATCTTTAGAATCATTTAGAATTGTTAGGTTGTCTGCTAATCTTATATAAAGTAGGTATCACATCTGTGTATATATACAGCTCTTCAATAATTTAACAATTCAGAAAAGGTTTTGGTTGCTAAATCCTTGTAGAAATATATATAGCACATAGAGAATACTATTTGGTTACTATAAAGAAAATGTACTTACTATTTTTATGACTATGTGCATTCCTCAAACTGCTAATAAAAATCTGCTATTGGAATCTAAAAATTTGTAACTTTATTGTTCTTTCAGTGAAAATTTGTATTTTTTTAGATACCTGTTTTAAGTATCTGGGTATCTTATGATGTTATATTGTTACACCAGTCAAAAGACAGCACACTATGTCCCAGTGTAGGTGGAGAACAACTGAGTGATATTCAAAGATATAATGTTAGTTTATGAGAATCAGTTGTTGCTAGAAGAGGTTTGCATAAAGAACTGTGCAGAACATACAGTATTTGAGATAAAACCATGAAAAAAAAACAGTAGTAGCAGTGATTTTAAAATCTTAAGGATAGAAATTGCAGAGTTAAGTATCCTCTAAAACAGAAAGGATTGCACATTGGTGGATATCTAATAATCATACCGAACAACTGCTGGAGGGAAAATACAAGACAGTGAAATCATGCTCAGGCTGCTGAAGTCAAGACAGAAATCTCACAACTGAGCTCATTATCTCGAGTAAGTGCTGTGGTATGAGAAGCTTTCACTGAATTCTGTTCAAAAGTCAAGATTAGAAGCTGAATCATATCAGCTGAAAAAGAATTATT